TTGAATTTGTATTTCAGCTCCTTCAGCTTAAGAAACACTGAGTGAGTTCGGCCCTTTTGATCCAATAGATGGCTCAAATCCACCAGCTGCTCCAGGGGAATAAGATGAGTAGTCTGTTGTGATTTTTACCCTAAGAATCCCACCAGAGGGGCCGTTATGAGTTGGTTCTGATTCAATGGCAGTGAATGGAGTCATTATCTGGTATTTAATTATGTATTTGGAAATCTAATTCTTTCATCTTCATTTCCTAGCCTCTTATACTGAGTATCTACTCTGGATTGAGGCAGAACAGCATTTGCTGCTGAGGAATTGAGCTGTAAGAAAAGAAATAGTTCTTGCTTCCCAAGGAGTTTAGCATCAAGAGATGGAAAATGATTGCAAATAACTGGAAGGCAGAATGGATTTGTGTTCCTCCACAGGGATCAGCAGCTGCAGTCTCCTGGAGGAGGATGGGCATGGGGAGGGAAGGAGAAATTTGAAAGGGAAGGATCCTAAGAGTGAGTGGTTGGTGGGTATGAGAAGGATAAATGGACCAGATAGTAGTCTTCTTATGCAGCTACAGGTCCACACCCTCATCCTCTTCAGCTTCAGCTCCTAGTGAGAGGCTGCTGTGCTGGAAAATGGATTCTGCTAAGTATGATGTGTTTAACAACTCTGTTGAACTTATGCCCACTTTGCATTTCACACTTCCCACGTTGTGCGTTGTGATTTTGCCTTTCTTCTGTTTGAGGTGATATAAATAAAAAAGGGGGCTGAAGGTTTGTGGGTTTCTTCCTGTCTTCATTAGTGAATAAAACCTTTGTTTATTAGTGAGTGAATATTTGTCTGGTAGTCTATATTTCTTCCTTGTTTTCTTGGCAGCTGTAACACTCTTTCCTTGCATTTTCAATATTGCGTTCCTTGTACCAGTGGCTGGGAGAACATCTGAGCTTCAGAGCCAACCAGCTAGTAACTGAGGCCTCAGCCAATTAATTTCCCTCTGCGAATCTGGTACCTAGATCCTAGGGAGCTGTCAGCAAACTCAGAGGCCACACCTCTCTGGCTGTTCATATCCACTTGCAGCTCCAAGGAAGAAAGATGGGCAGTGTCCTTTGATTCAGTTTTCAGTCTTGGAAACCTGAATGGAGGGTCAGCTATATGTCAGTTCCGACTCAGTGGCAAAGAGTTTTTTAAGTTGTTATTCTTGTTATTTACCATCTAGTTGGAACAGACCCATAGCTGACCCTCCAGTGGGTGTTCAGAAGCAGTAAATGACATTGGAGGAGGCTGCCCATCTTTCTCCCATGGAGCAGCTGGTGGATTTGAACTACATGTCTTTGAATTTTCAGTATAACTCCTTACTTCTTGTTGATTGCCTTCGAGTCGAGCACGACTCATCACAACCCTATGAACAAAAGGCCTGAAGCCCCTCTACTACTATTGACATTTATCAAAGTTCATAGAGTTTCTGGAGGCATGTTGTTTAGGAAGTGAATGCAACTCATAGCTACAATTAAAGGGAGCTCTCTGGTAGCTATGGTTAAAGAGTTGCACTGCTAACACAAAGACAGTTCAAATCCACCAGCTGCACTGAGGGAGAAGGAAAGGCAGTCTCCTTCTATGCAATTTATAGCTTTGGAAAATCCCCTGAGCATCAGATTCTGACTTGACAGTAATGATTTTTTTAGTTTAAGCCACAGTTAATGTATTTCTTGGTTCTCTTTTACACTGATTTAATTTAGAGGCTATAATGAATTTTCCTTGTATATGTCATTTTTTTCTGTTAAAAAACACTTGTAGCTTTTAATGATTTACTACTCTGAAGATTAGAAATACCTAGTGTCTAAATGTTAGTCTTCCTTCTTTGCTTCATTTTTCCTGTCTACCACATTCTTTGTGTTAAGAATTTTGCCATTGGCTTTATTTATACATGGTCTGTGTAGGGCTGCGTCTGGAGAAGCCTTACAGCTGTGTTGAGGGTGGATCACATGACTGAAACGGTGCATCTGTTACTGCTTAGGACTCTGCCTGGTGTATTTACTGTTTATTTTCCCTGTGAAAAATATGTATCCTGAGCGATGGAATTAGTTAAATCTCTTAAAAATGGGCAAGGAGTCACTGATTTTCCTGAAATAATATGTTGCTGTTCTTTTTTGTTTTAGGGCATGATATTCACTTCCATGACAAGAAAATCCTGTTGCTCGAAGCAGGTCCAAAGAAAGTGCTGGAGAGATTGCCAGAGACATACAGCAATAGGGTCAGCTCCATTTCCCCTGGCTCTGCAACCCTTCTCAGTAGTGAGTAAATGATCCTCTTCTTGGGACCAGTCTCTTTCTCCCATGATTTTTCAGGGGATCTCATGGGGTAGCGCTTGGAGATGAGAGGAGTGGTTGACAGGTGGGGGACAGAGGAGAGCCTGACTTGGTAGGCTAATACACACAGCTGAAGACTTGGTATGTGCCCGTGACTTGACTCTTAACTCATAGAGACCCTGTGGACAGTGGAGTGAAACCTTGTCCTATCCTGTGCCATCCTCACAGTCACGCTCATTTAAGTCCACGGATGTAGTCACTGTGTCATTTTGTTTCACTGATGGACTTCCTCTCTTTCACTAACCTCTACCTTTCCCAGCATGATGTCTCTGTCCAAAGACTGGCCCCTCCTGACAGCATGCCCAGAGTATTTGAGATGAAGTTTCACCAGCCTTGTTACTAAGGAGCACCTTGATTGCATTTCCTTCAAGACAGACTTGAGTTTTGAGTTGAAGACTTGTTAGGTGCCATCAAGTTGACTGCTACTCCTAGTGACCCAGTGAATATAACAGCTCTGAGCCTTGCCCTATACTGTGCCATTCTCACCATCTCTGATCTGTTGTTACTGTTATTAGGTGCCATCCAGCGACTCTGTGAACAGCAGATCTGTACCGTGTCCTGTCCTGTGTATCTCTAATACACTCAAGCCCATTGTTACAGTCACTGTCATCTCATCTTGTTGAGTGTCTTCCTCTATTTCTCTGACCCTCCACCTTTCCCAACATAATGACTTCATGCCCACCATATGTGAGATGAAGTTTGTTCATCCTTGCCTTTAAGGAGTACCTTGATTCCACTTCTTCCAAGAAAGACTTATTTGTTCTTTTGGCAGTTCTTGGGATATTCAGTGCTCTTCTCCAATACCACAATTCAAAGGTACTTTCTTGGATCATCCTTATTTATTGTCCAACTTGCATATGTATAAGAAGTAATTATAAAGACCATGTAGACCATCTGGGGGGAAAAATTAGTGTTAAGTTTGAGTCAAAGGCAAGGATTCCTGAAATTGTTGGTGGTTCACTTTCCAGTCAAGGGAAGGGTACCTTTAGGACAATGGGATTCTATCATGTAGACTTTATCTGCGAGGTAGGGTCATAATGAATTAGTAGAATTAAAGCTATGTTAACTATGACCATTTACTTCTATAATAGCTTGTTCATCTTTCCTAAAGTCAGAGAGCCCTTTAGGGAGTTTGGGGTGCTGAATGGTTTTGTGATGTAGATGGAGCTTTACATGAGGAACCAGTTGACAGATTGTCTTAGGGTCCTTCAGGCCACCGCATCTAAAACCACTCTATCTAAAATCAATTCTATCTTTTTCTAGCTTCTTATCCTGTCTTACTTTATAACTACCTTACTAAGGCATGCCTGATCCAGGCCATAGTCTTTGCAGTTACGTGCTATGCATCAGAAGCTGAACAGTGGCTAGGGATAATAGAAAGGAAACTGATGCCTTTGAGCTGTGGTGCTGGGGAAGAGGGTTGAGTATACAGTGGGTGGACTGCTGAGAGAACAAACAGGTTAGTCCTAGGGAGGGTGAGGCTAGGCTGCTTCTTGGAGGCAAGGATTCTGAGGTGAGGGATCAGTCATCGGAGAGGGACATCATGCTTGGAAGGGGGCAGGGACAGCACAGGAGAGGGAGACACTCGATGAGCTGGATTGATTCAGTTACTGGGGTAATGGGGATAGGTGTGTCAGAGACAGTAAGGTTGGCACAAGGTAGAGTAGGTTTTAGGGCTATTGCATATAAGGTTGCTATGAGTTGCAAGTGGCAACAACAACAACATAATAGTATGTGATTGTTTACTATTGTCCATCTCTAAGCAAAGGGAGCTCTGGTGGCCTAGTGAATTGGGTTGGTGTGCTACCAATCCAGAAGCTAGCGATTGACATTCACCAAGAGGAAAAAGAAGAACAGTCTCTTCCTGTGTGATTATAGCCTCTGAAAACCCAATGGATGGTCAGCTTTGATTTAGTTCTGACACAGTGGCAGTGAACAATAACAACAACTCTAACTGAATGTCAGCTGCAGAAGGATGGAAACTGGTTACGATTCCCACTGGCCTGCAAACTGGTTCAGTCATGGCTAACACAGTGAAATTACAACATATTTATAAAATGTGGGTGTGCCACGATAATAACCACAATGGCAAGATTATGGATCAAAGGCTTGAAGTGAGAGGCTTGGAAGAAGCTTAGTGAGCCCTAGGAGGGTCTTAATGTGGGAGATTGGATTATTGTCAGGACTGAGGGGCGTGATGCGCCTTCACAGAGGAGCGTTTGCCTCCATCTTTGAGCCAGGCTCTGTTATTTCAGCCTCTACCACTTCCTAAACAACATTCCTCTGGAAACTCCATGAATTTTGATAAATGATGATAGTTACAGAAAGGCTTCAGGCCTTTTGTTCATAGGGTTGCTACGAGTTGTGCTTGTCTTGACTCGACAGCAATCAACAACAACAACAACTCGTGGCCTAGTGACAAGAAGCTGCGCTGCAATCACAAAGGCATGCAGCTTGAGGCCACCAGTTCAGCAGAAGAAAGATGGGCATCTCCTCCCGTGCAATTAACTGCCTCTGAAGACCCACCGAAGGGTCAGCTATGGGTCAGTTCCAACTCTGTACAGAACAACAGCTTGTTGAAGAGTTTGTTTGCTGTGCAGCACACTCTTTGACCTTGTTTACTAAGAGGGAAATTAAGTTTCTAGCAAGGAATTGATTGGTAATTTCCACCATTCTAGTTAACATTGAGGTCTATTCAGATTTTTGCTTCATTGGCTATGGCTGAGCTAGACAGGATGCATTCCAGGACTTTGTTTCTCAGTTTGTTCCTGTTACCTAATTGGTCTGAGTAAATATTTTCACATTAAAAGAATCTTTTCAGTGTATGATGAGTTTTTTTAAAAAAATCTTTATCCAGATGATTTATAACTTCATGTTAATAAAGCTACACTTTCATTGTGACATTAAAGATGATGATAAAAAAAAAGAACAATATGAGTTGGATTTTCCTTTTTTATTTCCCCACTTTGATGTTTAAAATTTTTCCTTTGTGAAAATTGGATTTTCTGTTCACTTATTTTAAGGCTGAAATTGGTGAACAGAGGAATGTTGCTCCTAGCATTAAACAGGATGAAAGTGGATACTGTTTGTATTTCAAAAGAACATTTTTCTTACCAGGATTGGGGACAGACAGAAGCCCAGGAGGAACATGGGTTCATGAGTGGCTCTGGTCTACAGATTTTTTTCCTTTGTAGGTTTTGGAGCCTGGGACCATATCAGCAGCATGAGACACAGAGCCTTCCGGCGAATGCAGGTCGGTGCCTTAATTGTCTTTATGCCTTTTGGAGAGGCATTTGGTTTGTCTTGTGATTAAGTTAAAAGTTAAAACCACTAGGATTTCTGTGCATCGTATTCTGTCGAGGGAAGAGAAGAAAGCGCTCTTCTCACCTCGTGTCTCTTGCCAGACAGGTGATTTTTCAAAGCAGTACTCATTTAGGACTGGAGTAGCATTCCTTTTTCCTTGCGTTATAACGGCAGCTTTCTCTTTGTTCTTCCAGGTGTGGGATGGCTGCTCCGAGGCCCTGATAATGTTTGATAAGGATGATTTAGGGGACATGGGCTATATCGTGGAGAACGATGTCATCATGCATGCTCTGAATAAGCAGCTAGAGGCTGTGTCTGGTGAGGCGCCCAGCTCTATGTTCCTTTCTGCTCCTCTAGAAAGTCATAAGTTTTTTCTCTTTTTATTGTTATTTGAGGGAGCTCTGGTGGCTTAGGGATAAGGAGTTACACTGCCAACCCAAAGGCACAAGTTCGAATCTCCTAGCTGCACCCTGGAAGAGAGATGGACAGTCTCCCGCCATGCTTTTTACTGCCTCTGAAAACCCCTGGAATGGTTGGCTATGATTCCAGCTCTGTGACAAATAACAATAACAGCGTTGTTATTTGAGTGAAAGTTCACAATGCAAATTGGTTTTTCTACTCAACCATTCATACCCATTTTGTTTTATAGCATTAATAACAATAGCCGTAGTGTTAACTACATTTTTCCCACTTGTTTCCTGTAGTTCTTATTTCCATTAATCTTTCTATCATACCTCTTCCTGCCTTCTGAGCTTTATCTGTGGACAAACAGTGCCCTTTGGACCTTAGGTGCTTGATAGAATAATTCTAGTGCTTTCTAATTATCATGCAACTTCCAGGTACTAGATGGTCACCATCAAGGGAGCCTAAGGTCCAAAGGGCACTGTTGTTTTTTTCAGTTTTCTTTTTTTAGTGCTTTATTGAGGTATAATTTACATACCTTAAAATTTACCCAGTTTAAATGGACAAGTCAGTGATTTTTAGTGTAATTACAGAGTTGTGTTCCCATCACTACAATATCATTTTAGAACATTTCCATCACCTCAAAAGAAGCCTCCTGCCTATTTAGTCGTTTCTCATTCCCGTTTTCAGCCCAGGCAACCACAAGTAGACTTTTGTTTCTGTCACTCACTTTCCTGGTTATTTTATATAACTGGGTTCATGCACTGTGTCTTGCCTCTTATTTTTTCATAGAGCAAAATATTCAGATTCATTGATGTTGTACTGAGACTTCATTCCTTGTTATCACTGTCTAGTAGTCCATTGTGGAAGCACACCACATTTTATTTATCTCCTCAATAGTTCGTGAACATTTTTTCGATCTTGGGAAAATGCCATGAAAATTCACATAGAAGTTTGTGTGTGGATGTATGTTTTCAATTTTCCTAGATAGGTAACTTAGGAGTAAAATTTCCAGCCCTAATCATGTAATATTTAACATTTGAGAAGCTGCTAGATTGTTTTTTCATGTGCCATGACTGACCATTTTATATTCCCACCAGTAGTGTAAAAGGGTTGTGATTTCTTTAGCTTTTTCATTATAGCCAGCCTAGTGTTTGTGAAGTAAAATCTCTATGGTTGATTCGTATTTTCCTGGTGAATAAGTGGCTGTGTGGGTAAGAAGTTTGTGCTGCCAGCCCAAAGGTAGGCAGTTCATATCCACCAGCTACTCTACAGGAGCCTCTCAGAACTCCCTGGAGAATCAGCTATGTGTGGGTTCCGACTCAACAACAATGAATTAAGTTGAGTTGAATAATATTCCTCTGGTCCTTTGCCCATTTTTAATTGTATTATGTCTTTTTTATTTTTGAACGTGAGAGTTCTTTATATATAAATGTAAATTTCTTAGAAGACATGATTTCCGTGTATTTCAGTGTTCTGGAGAGGGAAAAATTGGAAACACTGAAAAGCTTTTTTTTCCTTTGTCATAGTAATTTATCCATGCAAGGAACTATCATGCAACTTTTAAAGAACACTTAGATCTATTTTTTCAGTCATTTACATAAATGTCTTATAATATGCTGGTGGAAAAAAGTATGTCATATGATCCTTCATGTGTATGTGGGCTTGGATGGGAAATCGTCTGGAAAGCTATGCCTCTGGGTTTTAACTGCTCATCTCAGAGTGGACAAGTGTGATATTTCCCCTCCTTCTCTTATACTTTTTTAACATACCTAATTTTACAAAGAGGATATTTTTCTTATGACCAGAGACTTAAAATTATTTCCACCGAGAAATCTTGGAATCACAAGCTTGTTTGAGCTGACAGTGCTCCTCCTGTCCGTTATCAAACCATGTAGGGTGTATTTAGGCAGAGCATGGCGCTCAGTGAACAGGGTCTGGGGAGGAGAAGAGTGTCTGCAGGCTGATGGTGCAGAGATGAAATATTTTTCTGTATTTACTTTTTTGATACCGATTTGTTTGTGGTTCTGCCATTTATCAACCCTCAAACCAGTAGTGTTGATGAGTTGACTTTTAGCTTTTCCTCTTTTGGTTTAGGGCTGTAGACAAGACACAGCTCTCCTGAGACCTGGCTTTGGGTTTGGTGGGGAATCCTCGCTCAGTCTGTGCCGGCCACCTTTCTAACACTGCTGTTTCTCTTCTGGCTCCTGCAGAACGCGTGACAGTTCTCTACAGAAGCAAAGCAGTTGGCTATACGTGGCCCTCTCCATTTCCCACGGTGGACTCCAGCCCTTGGGTTCAGATTACCCTAGGTGATGGTAGCACCCTCCAGACCAAATTGTTGGTAGTTGAAGATTCTTCTTTTTGCCAGGGCTTGTAGTGTTAGGTATAAGCTATCATTTATAAGTTTATTTTAGGCAAGGTTTTTGTATTGTAGAGACCCTCTTAAGTCATTCTAAGTCAGGATGTTGTTAAGTGTTGTTAAATCTCATAGCAATCCTGTGAACAACCGATCCAAACCCTGTCCTGTCCTGTCCTGTCCCACCCTCACCATCTGACATACTAGCGCCCTCTACTGCAGTCACTGTGTCAGTCCATCTTAAGTGCTTTGTCTCTTTCACTGACCCTCCACCTTTCCAAGCATGATATTCTTTTCCAAGGAATAGCCTCTTTTAACAACATGGCCAAAGGACATGAGGGAAAATTTTATTACCTCCAAGGAACATTCTTTGAAGTTGAGATGGGCTTATTGTAAATCCTGGACAGGAAGCAATCTGCTGGAGCATCTTAGGTTAGGAAGTAGGGATGGCCTGCTTCTCAGGACAGGAGTCAGGGAGGAGGAACTTGAGGCAGTTCCTTCCCTCCCAGGAATCCCATAGTCACTCTTCTCTGTGCATCTCCCATTTTTCTCCTGCTCCTCAGCTTCCTTTTACATCCATTTCTAACTGCTCTAATACCCACCCCAGATTGAAACTTTCCTTCTTGCTTTCTAGTCAAATATTAAGAGATTCTAATTGAGTTTAACTTAAGGCTGGCACCTCTAGAGTTAAATATCCTCACTGGCTCTGTTAGATGGGATGGGCTCCCCTAGGTAGGGCAGCCTCACTTGGGGCTGTGAGTGGGGCAGTCATGGTGGTAAGCTTCCTGCTGCAGAGGACTTGCCAGTAGCAGGCACTAGAGAGAGCCCTAGGACACAAACTTCTGGAACAAGCTTATTTGGAAGAGGAAAGAAGACTTAACAGGCTCTTGTTCACATATAGATTGGTGCAGACGGTCACAACTCAGGAGTCAGACAGGCAGCCGGAATCCAGAATGTCAGCTGGAACTATGACCAGTCGGCTGTTGTGGCGACTTTGCATTTATCAGAGGTGAGCACCTGCACCTGCCTTCGGGGGCTGGTCTCGTTTATGCTTTCACTGGCACTTCTTTCAAGAACTCTCTTCCCTTCCATTGTAGGCCACAGAAAACAATGTTGCTTGGCAGAGATTTCTTCCCTCTGGGCCCATTGCTCTGCTCCCGGTAAGAAGTACAAGAAGTCAGTCTCTGGCTAATGTTTTATCAGATCCAGACTTCCTCTTTTATGACTTCTCTCAGCCCAGTTTTTTATTTGAAGAGAGTAAGTCCAGGCTAGCTTTGTTCTCCCTTAGCTTGGGAACTCTCAAGTAGAGCAGAGGATTAGCTCTTAACTGTTTGCTGCTCTTGTTTGGACACAGCTTTCCGACACCTTAAGTTCCCTGGTTTGGTCTACATCCCACGAACATGCCGCAGAGCTGGTCAGCATGGATGAAGAACAGTTTGTGGATGCTATCAACTCTGCCTTTGTGAGTATCAGCTTGTCCAGCCGATGCTGTGCTGCAGGAGTGGATACAGGAAGGTGGTCAGGAGAGAGCCTGAGCTGAAGAGCTGCCCCTTTTTAAGGGTGCCACGTGATCTGGATTATGTGATGGAGGGCTTTTAAGAAAATGCAAAGCAAGAGAAATTAATAACTGTTTTTTTGTGGTTTTGTGGGTGGTTTTTTTTTTGAGGGTTGTGGTCTGCTGGTGTGTTGATTGACAGACGGTTGTCTTGACTGTCGTTAGCATTGAGCTTTTGTATTTGAAGCTGTTAGACTTTAGTAGTTTTGAGCACATTTGCTAGGTCCCAGGTACCTAAGCCTGTGAAACCTTATCCATTGGAAGGGGCTGAGCACACTGTCCTATAGAGTTTAAGAGTAAGCTTTGTAGATAGATCAGAGTTGCTGCTAATCTGAAAAATTCTCTGCCTCTCAAGATTTAATAGATATTTAAAATATGAGAATATACTTAAAATGCCTGGACTGTACGGCAGTTCTGGAGTAGACACAGCCTTACAGTAATACAGGTAGCAGAGCTGATTTTGGGGGTTTTTTAAGCCTCAGTGTCACATTTATCTGGAATCTCTGGTGGCCTAGTTGGTAGAGAGTTGTGCTGCCAACTCAGCAGTTGACGGTTTGAATCCATCAGCTTCTCTGCAGGAGAAAAATGGGCAGTCTACTCTGTGTGATGTACAGCCTCTGAACACCCACCGAGGGGCACCTCTGAGTGAGTTTTGCCTGGGTATCAAATGAGTTAAATTACCATACTCACCCAGTCCACTCACAGTAACATTTACTGAGTGCTCCCTGTGTGCCAAGATCTGTTAGAATTTTACATGAATTTATTTAATCCAGTAAATACTGGAAGTGGGTATTATTATTATATTTGGAAAGATTGGGTAAATAGCCTGAGGTCATAACTGATGGCAATGCTAGGTTTTCAAATCAAGTTGACTCTAGAGCTTATGCTGTTAAACACCAAGCCCTACTACTTCAGTAATGAGTTCACACCTGATCTAGAGTGAACTTAAGCACCAGTGCTCTGTAATGTTGTTGCTGTTAGGTGCTGTCAAGTCAGCTACAGCTCATAGCAACCTGTGAACAAAAGATCAAAACCCTGCCCTATGTCATCCTCACAATCTCCAACATGCTCGAGCTCGTTCTTCCGGTCACAGTGTCAGTCCATCTTGTTGAGGGGCTTCTTCTCTTACTCTGACTCTCCACCTCTCCCAGCTTGATGTCTTTTCCGCAGGACTGGCTCCTTCTGAGAGCATGCCCAAAGGATGTGAGATGAAGTTTCACCAGCCTTCTTCCAAGACAGACTCGTTTGTTCTTTTTGCTAGTCCATTGAGTTTTCAGTACTCTTCTCCAGCATCCCAATTCAAAGGTGTAGATTCTTTTTCTGTCATCCTTATTCATTGTCTAACTTTCAGATTCACAGGGAGCATTTGAAAATATCATGGCTTGGATCAAGTGCACCTTAATCTTTAAATTGACATTCTTGCTCTTTAGCACCATGGTGAGGTCCTTGATAACAGATTTTCCCAGTGCATCATGTGTTTTGATTTCTTAATGGCTGCTACCTTGGCTATTGATTGTGGATCCAGGTGAGATGAAATCAGACAACTTCAATCTTGTCTTCATCTGTCATGTTATGTTGTTGCCTTATGAGGATTTCTATTTTCTTGATGTTGAGTTATAATCCATATCGAAAGGTATTGTCTTGGATTTTCTTCACTAAATGCTCATTTCCTCTTTACTTTTAGCAAATATGTTGTATCATCTGCATAATGTAGGTTGTTGATGAATCTTCCTCCAATCCAGATGCTACATTCTTCTTCATAAAGTCTAGCTTCTCAGGTGATTTGCTTAGCATACAGATTGAGTAAGTATGGAGTAAGGATCCAACCTTAACATACACCTTCTCTAATTTTAAACCATGTCGTGTTCCCTCTGTTAATTGAAACAAGGGGTATCCCATCGATTCCTGGGGCCTTATTTTTTGCCAGTGCCTTCAATGCAGCTTCCACTTCCTCCTTCATTGCCTTTGGCTCTTGTTCATATGGTACTTCCTGAAAATTTTCATTGTTAATCAGCTCTTTCTGGTACAGTGATTCTGTGTATTCCATGTTCTTTTGATGCTTTCCGCTCATTCAATATATTGCCCATAGCATCTTTCAGTATTGCAGCATGAGGCTTAAATTTGTTTTTCAGGTCTCTCAGCTTGAGAAATGCACAGCAAGTTCTTCCCTTTTTATTCCCCAATCTCCGCTCTCTGCACCAGTGATATAATTGCTGATGTCAGTTTGATCCTGGCTGAGAGTAAGGAATACCAGAAGAATGTCTCTTTGTGCTTTATTGACTGTGCAAATCATAATAAGTTGTAGCTGACTTTGAAAAGAATGGGAATCCCAGAACACTTAATTGTGCTCCTGTAAAACCTGTCACTAGACCAGGAGGCTGTTGTATGAACAGAGCAGGGGAACACTGGATGGTATAAAATTGAAAAGGGAGCACATCAGTGTTGTATTCTCTCTCCATACCTATTAAGTCTGTATGCTGAGCAGATTATCCAAGAAGCTGGACTGTATGAAGAGTAATGTGGCATCAGAATTGGAGGAAGACTCATCAATAACCTGTGTTATGGTGATGACACAACCTTGAAAACCTGAAAGTGAGGAGGACTTGAAGCACTTGTTGCAGAAGATCAAAGAATGCAGCCTTTAGTATGGATTGTAGCTCAATGTCAAGAAAACAAAAGAATCTAACCATTGGACCAATAGGCAACATCATGATAAATGGAGGAGATTGAAACTATCAACAGCTTCATCTTGCTTGGATCCACAGTTAACACCCTTGTTATCAGCAATCAGGCAATAAGGAGATGCCTTGCACTGGGAAAGTCTGCAGTTAGGGGCCTTTCTAAATTATTGAGGAGTAATGATGTTAGTTTGAGGACTAAGCTGCATTTGATTCAGGCCATAGTGTTTCCGTTTTCTTGCTGTGCATCTGAGAGCTGGACAGTGAATAAGGATGACAGAAGAAGAATTGATGCCTTTGAGCTGTGTTGTTGGACGTCCAAGAGAACAAACAGATATGTCTTAGAGATGGTGCAGCTGGAGTATTCTTTGGAGGCAAGAATGGTGAGGCTTCACCTAACATACTTTGGGCATATTGCTAGGAGGGGCTGTTCCTTGGAGAGGGACATGATGTTCGGAAAGGTGGAGAGTTGGTAAAGGAGAAGACGACACTCAACTAAGTGGATTGACAGTGACTGCTGCAATGGGCTCTTGTTTGTCAGGAAGGCTCAGATCTTTTGTTCATAGGTTGCAATGAGTCATACTAAATGGCACCTACCAACAACAAGTGTTCCCTCTTCAGTTCGGACAGCTGCTTCTTATTGTATGTATAGATTTCATGTGAATACAGTTAAGTGTTCTGGGACTTCCATTATTCTTACTGTTAGTCATATATTATGATCCACATAGTCAAATGCCTTTGCATAGTCAATAAAACACTAAACATTTTCCTTGTATTCTCTGCTTTTAACCAAGACCCATTTGTCATTAGCAGTGATATCCCTCGTGCCACAGCCTCTTCTGAATCCAGTTGAATTTCTGGCATTTCCCTGCTGATGAACTGTTGTAGCTGTTTTTTTAAATAATCTTCAGCAAGATTTTAACTTGCATCTGACATTAATGATCTTGCTTGATTTCCACATTCTGTTGGATCACCTTTTTTTTTTTAACGTGAACAACAACAAAAAAAAAATGGTTCTCTTCTAATCAGTTGGCTATGTAGCTGTCTTTCAGATTTATTGGTGTGAGTGAGTGAGCACATTCAGGACCACCTTTGTTAAAACACTTCAGATTTTTTCTTTTATGCCAATGCCTTCAGTGCACCCTCAGCATCTCATCTTCCCTCATTACCATTGGTTCTTGATCATATGCTACCTCCTAAAATGGTCCAATGTTGACCAATCCTTTTTGGTACAGGATTGTAGTAGCAACAAAAATGAACATAGTGAAGTAGATTCCAAGCTAATTGGTGAAGGCTGCCACTCTGGGTTCTTCAGCTCACATTCTTGGTGTGGGCCTGGGACAATGGATTCATCCATTCATCAATTATGAACATCTGTTTAGCAGGCTCTTTCTGAAAACTCAAAGAGTCAAGTGATTAGAGAAAGATGAGTAAATGCCAATTTTGCATAGTGACAGAAGTACAGATAGGTGCTGTGTGAGCAGAGAGGGAACTGGCGTAGAAGTGTTACACTAGGGAGATAGGAGTGGTCATTCTAACTGGATGCAGAGGAACTACGCTGCGGCCAGCACATATCGAGGGTGAGACCTAGTGAAAGGTGCAGCTCAGAGGCGAGCAGGGGTAGCTCACGAGTCATTCTGCCTGATTGTATGGGAGTGACTGATGGCAGGGGTGGGTGTTGCACTCATTCGAGGGCTTATCAGTCACAGTCACAGTCCAGTTCAGTGTCAGCAAGTTACGGGCCTTTTACAAAAGAAATTTTGTTGACTCTTTAATATGCTAATCAAATTTTACCTTGTGGCTTTTGCTGCTCAGTGGAGTGATGTTAACCACACGGACTTCATTGACTCGGCTGGCGCCATGTTGCAACATGCTGTTTCCCTTCTGAGGCCCACGAAAGTCTCAGCTCGCCAGTTGCCCCCGAGTGTAGCCAAGGTGGATGCCAGAAGCCGGGTACTGTTTCCTCTTGGGCTGGGACATGCTGCCGAGTACGTCCGGCCTCGGCTGGCGCTCATTGGGTAAGATAGCCACAGAGCAGGCTGCTCCCTCCTCCCTGCTTCTGGACTCCCCCTGAATTCTGCTTTCTTCCTAGGGATGCGGCTCACAGAGTCCATCCCCTTGCAGGACAAGGTGTCAACATGGGCTTTGGGGATATCGCTAGCTTGGTCCACTACCTCAGCACTGCAGCCTTCAATGGGAAGGATTTAGGTAAGGATCCAGGTACCTTGGACAAGTATCCAGAAGTGATAATGAGTCAAAAGTTGAGAATGACTCTCATTAAGAAAATGGGATGGATATAAAACATATTTAGCTTTCTAGGAGAGGAAGAAAATTTTACTGTTGCATTATGGGTTTAACCTCTCCTCTTTCCAGGCTGCATCAGTCACCTGACAGCTTATGAAACAGACAGACAGCGCCACAACACTGCTCTTCTGGCTGCCACAGACCTACTCAAGAGGCTGTATTCCACCAGGGCCACGCCACTTGTGCTGCTGAGGACATGGGGCTTGCAGGCCACCAATGCATTGTCTCCACTCAAAGTAAGAAGTAGTGCGTGGCTCTCCCAACTTCTTACTTGCTCACTAAGGAAAACTTGCAATCAACTCTTCATTATTTAGATTAATTTACAGAGCTGTAAAATGATCATTTTTTAACCTGTGCACCTTTTCCAGTAGTTATGAGCAAAATCTTTTTGGTGTTGGGCCCACATCTAAGCAATATATATATATTGGAATATATATTTTACATATAGGAAAAGCTGACACTTCTTTTGTTGCTCAGCCAATTACTGCCCTCACATGTTCCCTTTTAAAGATATTAAACAAACCCAACCCCAAACAAGGTGGGGAGACTTAGGAGAAGAATCTTTGCGTGGATTTTTTACTTCCTTTTAAGAGTCTCCTGGGCTTGACGTTTCATTTTTTTAAATTTTTTTTTTTTTTTTACGTTTCATTTTAATCTGTTGTCCCTGCCTGTCCGCTGTGCATCCTGCAGATGGGGCAGAAGAGTCCCACTTCCATGTCACAGTCCTGCCCACTTTGTTTCTTCTTCCTACAGGAACAGATTATGGCCTTCGCAAGCAAGTGAACACTCCTCTTGTAGAGATTATCCTGATGAAAGGAGGACATTCTGCCCCAGTAGCATCGTGCATTGTTCTCTAGGGTTAATAAACTTTGTTACTCTTCCAATTTTGTTTTCCTTCTGTGCTCAATGAGCCTGCAGCCCAAATAAGAAGTGCAACTTTGATATGAAGAGAGTTTATCAACCAAGCCAATAAAAAATCCAAAAGGAAGACATATGATTTGGTTGGAAAAAAAGCAGCTTTTTATTACTAAATCAATGTGATCTGTCACTTATTTTCCTTGAACAGTCTTTTCTAGAGAAAAGATTTATACAATTGTTTTTTTGATAGATGTAAAAAATTAAAAATCTTCACTTACTGTATTTTTTATAGAAAAGCCACTTTAAATATTAAACTGCAAATTAACTAGAAATTGCTTTAACCTATGTTAAAGTATACTGACTTTCCAGAAGGAAAGGCCAGTTGTCTTAATGCTAATTGATTTCCTCATTACAGCATCAGATTTCATTTTCTTCATGGCTCCTCTCTAGCATAGCATAGTCTTTTTAAAATTAAATAATACATAATTGCATTGCACAGGTTTAAAGACATCGGGAATTATTTCCAAAGGGAGAATCTGATTAGCAGCAGGATTTGTTCCTGTTTGGTGGCAGACGGGAGGAAGTGGTGTCTTGCTGTGGGTTTCTGAGGAGCTCATTACCCAGAGACGCTCCCTGAAGAGATTATTTTTTTTAGGCTCCCATATGCAATAAAGAGTATTATCATCTAAAAGTCTGATTTGAAGATAAATGATAGAGTTTGCTTTTGGATCAAAGTGAAGTAATTCTTAGAAATAATTTTTGAGGCTGTGAGGAACTGGATGACCACAGGGGAGCTTTCCAGACAAATGCAGGAAATGTTTAAGATACTAAGGGAAAAGTGACAGTGCCACCCACTTTTCTGGAATCTCGGGAAAAATATGCCCAGAATATAAGATGGCAGCTTCTGTGAAAATCTGTGTGACTCCTGGCAGAGTCCAGAAAGATCCTGGAGGGGAAGTATTAACCTTCTGTAAAACATGGACTTCCCTTAAGTATGCAAGCTAGAAATCAGGCAAAACAGGAGGCATTTTAAGGCACACTTTGCAAGGACCTCCAAATCCACAGAGGATGTCCTTCATATAATAAAGATAACAAACACAACATTCAGTATGTGTCAAGCCAAGTCCTAGGTATCTTCAATATGCAAACACATTTTTAAGGAGGAAATAAGAACAAAACTGGAATCTGGAGGACCCTTAGCAGAGTACGGACAAACTGAAACATTCCAAACTCTTTTTAAAATGGTTAAGTTGGTTATTTCATCAGATGTTTAGTCAAGATTAAATTTAGATTTTTTAGAGTAGAATGCATTTACCCAAGAGATATCGGAGAGTCTACCTTTTGATCAAGTAGGATGCTAAACAATAAGTATACTTTGCATATAGGACCACTGTTTATTAGAAAAGCTTTGGAGGAACTGTGGTGATAAAGACTCAGGAACTGCACCAAGCTGGAGCAATCATAAGGAATAGAGTACCTCTTGGGAGGAAAAGGTTTCTAGAGGAAATGAGTCTCTAACCATACGGAACAGCACTTATGTACCATACTATTTTGTTAAAGGCTCTGGAAACCAGGCTGTACGTTAAAAAAAGACTGAGAAAAGACAGGCATTTTCTTCAAATAACTGAGGTAGGAGGGATCAGAGCAGACCCAAGACCAAGGAGAAGACAGGCAGATTTCAGATCAATTGAGGGAAGAACTTTTTAATCAGTGGAGTCCCAAACAGAATGAACTGTCTGAACACAATACATTATGCCCGAAGAACAGGTTAGAAATGTCAAGGGAATTCTGTGATGCATAGAAGAGTGGTTTAGACCTTTGGGCTGTTTTTAATGCTAAAAGTGCTATGATTTATGGACTAGCATTCTTTGAGGAACACAGTAGGTATACAGATATATCCTGGTAGGAGAAGTCTGTTTTGAAAGTTTGAAGCAATTTCATACTAGGTTAAAAGACAACCTACCACATATACATGCAGATCGTAAAATCTGGATGATCAGGGAGATTAAAATGCCCAGAGCCTAGCAAAAACAGGAGTTAACTATTTATTGAATCAATGGAGTCAAATAAAAAATGCAAGGTTCCCAGAGATTGGTTTGAGGACCAGACATACTTAAAATCTTTTGTAAGAAAGCTGAAGGAAAGGGAGTCTCCTCTGAAAACTGGAAAGAAACTGGAGGTAAAGAGCCAGGCAAAGAAGGCTGTGTACAGGAAAAGCAAGCCTAAGCAGGAGACTAGGTCGACAAGAAGCAGATCATGTTCATGTAGGAAAAATAGAATGAATTTCTGGGGAAACAATCCACAACAAGAGCTCTGAACTTTTATATGGAAAAAGAACTTGGTTCTCTGGAAGTGCTGGTGCTCTGTACTGATGCAGGCCCAAACAATCAACACAGTTAAAGTGGGATGTCATCGAGAAGGGTTAACAAACCCTGGAATTGACAGATAACATTGGAAGATGAAACTAAAACGGGCGAGGGGCAGAGAGAGGGACTGCTGTGTGAGGAGAATTAAGAGGAAAACTGAAAGGAGCCAGAAATATGAAGAGTCGAGACACCTCTGACCACAGACCAAAATGCTAGTGTCTAGTCACATTTGGTAGAAATACAAAGATGAGAGGTTTTATTATTAAGTGCCCTCGATTTGGTTTCAGTGCATAGTGCTCATCCTGTATTCTACCCATCAAACGACACTGTCCTCACAATCGTTATACTTGAGCCCGCAGTTGTAGCCACTGTGCCAGTCCCTCTTGCTGAGGGCCGCCTTGTTTCTCCCTGACCCTCTGAGACAAGTTTAGGACCACAGAAAGGACTACATACACATCAGCCTGGGAGGTGGTCCTGGCACACACATTCAAATTGGCTATGTTCATTTGTCACAGGATTACTGCTAAAAAATTAGTTAAAGTGTCAGCTCTACAAGACAACCATACCCTCCTAAAACACGGCCCTAGAGAAGGGATCACCCCCACGCCTCATTCTGCACAGGGTTAGACAGTGCGCATGACTTGGACCATGATGTCACAGTGGCTTCCATCCTGTGAAGACTTGAGGTGGCTCTCAGCTGGCTGACGGGCAGTCCTGCAGAGCAGAATCACGTGAGAACGTCATCTATGGTACCTTCTGTTTTCTTCTTGAGGGTGGGATAGATTGAGCAGGGCAGAATGTAGTGAAGAAAAAACCCAAAAACTACAGGTAGTGATAAGCCGAAGACTGTAGTCAATCAGCTTCATTTAGCATGTAAGTGGAAAATCAAAATGTTCAGAGGAACGAGGCACTCCAAGGGGCGAGATGAGATTTTTCTTTGGTTTCCAAGGCCCTGTCCCTGGGCTCACTCCAAGGTCAAGTTCTATAGATATTCTCGTGGCGCACAGAGTTCTCTGTGACACACAAAGACAAAAATTTAGACTCTGGTGGCTGGCTGAGCACTCAGAGTGGAAAGGTAACAGTTCACATTAGATGTGTAAAAGTCATCAAAAATTTTGAGGTTCAAGGGCAAGAGTCATCTACAACAGCCCTTCTTCTGGTGGAGGGAGCAGCAGGGCCTCAGTCGAGGCTTCAGACTAGCTTGGAGCATGGCTGCGTCCGTCCTTCCAAAAAAGTCCTTGGCGAGTACAGACCTCAGAAGACACGCCTGGCCTCAGTGGAAGATGTCCAGAGACTGCAGCAGGTGAAAGGTGGCTCCCAAGGCCCAGCCTGTCTCGATATTGTTCACTTTCTTGGTGAGCTGTGGAGAGAGGAGAAAAAAAAATGTCTTTACATTTTTATCCAGTTTTGAGCACTTAGGAAACACAGCACTTGGGCAAACAATAGCTGTGAAGAGCACTCGATGATCAAAACCACTGCAAGATGGAGAGGAGCTGGTGTTGGCAGCTTCCCTCCCACCCTGCCCACTGACCACACCTGCCATTCTGATTCTGGAAAGCTGCTGGGCCAAGTAGTCCTACTTCTACACAGGATCTCAGGTTTCTGAACTCTTTCCTAGAGCTGACACTAAATATAGTATCCCCTGCTTTACTTTTTCAGTATTTTTATTGTTCATATAGTGTATTCCATGCATGAACATTATGTTCTAGACAACCTTTCATTTATACTATATTGTTTGTGTATATTGTAGGTTCCCCCCTTACAATAATCTGCTTTATTTTTTTAATCAGAAAATTCATAATCAGATGTTAACAGATATGGTAGAGAAGGGATTCAATTTGGGAGTAACAAAAACTTAATCCATATAAGTTACTGCCTCTTAAGTACTATAACCACCAGCCAAAGCATTTAGGGCACTACTGGCCAGGCTGGCTGTGTTTTGTGTGACTTCAGGCAAAATTTTAGCCTCAGTTTCCTCAACTATATTACAAGGAACTCAGTGTTAACCAAATTGTTTTCTTCAGAATCCTAGGGGTTCCTGCATGCAGTCAGAGAAGAACAGGGGGCAGATGCTAAAAAACTTCCAGGCCCCCTACCCCTGCTTCAACTGGAAAAATTCCACTTTCTCTCCCACCCCAAGAAATGAACAGGCCTTTATTGCATGGTCTGAGAGGAACACCAAGTGATCACAAGCGGAGAAGGTCAAAAATGGTGTATGGGCAGTCAAGGGCGGCCTCTTTCTATAGGGGATTTTAGGGAGAACGTGGTTTTATATTACTAGCATTCCGCATAAGGTTTTCTTAGAAAAAGATGCTACTACCAGTATCACCAAAAAAATAAAGTTTGAAAATCATCCTAGGACACAAAATTCAGTCTAATTATTGTGATGAAGTCAGAGGAGAATGGGATTTGAATAATTAATTTGATTTGTAGGGTAACAGTGGGGATATGGGTATTCTATGTAAAGGTGCAGGCAGTCTGTGGTTTAGTGTGAGACACCAGAGTCCAATCGGTGTGACTTCCTTCAAAGGCCCCTGTGTCCTCACAATTAGGCTGCTGACAGCTGCCAGGTACAGGTGCTGACGGGAAGCAGTCTTCGGAGCAAGGACAAGGGTTTTCACCCTCAATGCACTTTAACTGGTGCACTGAAATAACAACAGGAATGAAAATGATGTTGTCAGAGAAAATGCAAGAAAAACTCAAATAATTTAGTTATTGTTGATGTTTAAGTGGACGCAGTAGTTAATTTAGTATGTGCTGAGAGACTGGGATGATCACTTGTGTTTAAAAATCTCTTCCCAACTGTGTGAACTGCCTCCATGAACTTACTGTCTGCCAGCCACTGTGCTTTACATGCACCGTCTCCTTTTCCTAACAATCCTATGAAATAGGTACTGCAATGTGTTTCAGATGAGGAACTTAAAAGCTTTACCTCACAGAGATAGGACACCATAGAGTCAGAACCTGAACCCTGACCTGCCAGCAGAGCCCAGGCTTGCGTTAAACATTACCTTGCACGGACTCGACTCCACCCCCATCTCCCCCATTCCTGCCAACTGGAACCAACTCACAGCTGACCCTCCAGCAGGTTTCTGATCCTATAAATCACATGGGAGGAGACCGCCTGTCTTTCTCCTTTGGAGCCAGTGGTGGATTCGAACTGCTGGAGGCACAGCCTTTGGGTTAGCCGTGCAACTCTCTATGAACTATAGAGTGCCCAAATGGATTATACTAGAAAGTACACGTGTTAAACTTTAAATACTTTATCATTTTGGTTGTTATAGAAATATATTAGCTCCAAATACTAAATATGATGTTGTTGTGTACTACAGAGCTGGAACTGACCCACAGCTGACCTTCCTCTGGTTGGTTTTCAGAGTCCATTAATTGCATGGGATTAATTGCATGCTCATCCTTCTCCCACAGAGCAGCTGGTGGCCTTGAACTGCGTGCCTTCAGGATTGTTTATAAAATTTTCATAAGATATTGGCAGGAAAAACTCAGTAGTGGCACAAGGAAAGGCAGCAGAGCTTGAAAGACCAACTCTAACTTCAGGACCCAAAGTCCACTAAACTGCCTCGTGCCATTGTTACAAGACTGCAAGCTCTGTAAGGACAAAGGTTCCATCTTAATTATCTTTGTAACTGTGATGAGGAATTATCTGATTATGGTTTAGAAAAGGAGAAAATGAATTGGGCAAGTAAAAATATCCTATGTTTAATATAGATAAGTTAATGTAAAATAGAAGCAGCGTGTGCTCCATCTCCACAGATGGAGAGAGACCAAACAGAATAAAGAGGGACTCAAGATTCAAGCAGTAAATACACAAACCTACAAAAAAAAATACAAGGCAGGCACAAAATAGCGAAGATACACTGCACATGCCCAGGGTATTGTATATTAAGAAGATTTAAGTCAGCGCCACCCTTTTGGTGCCTCAGGTTCTCTGCTAAATAAAACCCATGTGTGGGGCTAAGGGGTGAGCTGAAGCTACTGGCTAAGTGTGCCCACACTGGATGCCTGTGTGATGGCTCCAAACACTGATCTCAGGGGCGGCTTGATCAAATTTCACTTCTAGGACTTTGTAACTACACCATCAGAGGCAGGCTGTATGAACGCCGTGTCACAAAGAACTTCGGAAGCTGTGGCACTCTCAACCCACTTGTCCCCTATCCTACATATGTTAACCTAACTTGAGTCTTTCCCCTTGCTTTATTTTTCTTCCTGGTGCTTAAGCTGTTTCCATAAGCTATGCAATTGGGGCATCTTAATTGGGTCTGTGAGCTTTTCTGTTCTATGATTTCAGGAAACACTTGCCCGAAAATAGAGATGACCAAGTAATTTCATAATTCATAGTATCTAATGAAGTATCTTGTCCTATAGCCTAGATAAAAAGGACACAATTTCACCTGTGTTGTTGTTAGGTGCCATTGAGTTGCCTGTGTCTCACTGTGAGCCCGTATACAAGCACTTTGAACCCTGCCCTTCCCTGAGCCAATCTATCATCTCTGACAGAGCCAGTCCCACTTCTCCAGTCACTGAATCAACCCATTTCATCCGGGTCTTTCCTCTCCTGAACTGTCCCTCCACCCTTCTAAGCATGCTGTTCTTCTCTAAGGACTAGTCCCTCCTGGCTACATGCCCAAAGTATGTGAGACAGAGCTTCAAAATCCTATCCTCCAAGAAGCAGGTTGGTTTCACCCTCTCCAAGACAGACCTGTTTGTTCTCCTGGCAGTCCATGGTATGGACTCTTCTCCAGCACCACAACTCAAAGGCATCGATTCTTCTTCTATTGTCCTTCCCCGAAAGCCTCTCCAATTACTAAATAAGTTACTGACTGCTCTCCTTCCCTCTGTATCCTCTCACTCACCTGCAGGACAGTGTTATCTGCAAAGCCAAAGCCGTCCTTTAACAGGGCCGTGATGTAACTGAGGTCCATGCACAGGAAGGGACTCCCTGAGGTGAAGCTCTCTAAGTTATCACACACTGAAAAGAGACAACAGTGCTGTATCATTTTCTTTAAATAAAAATTTAGAATAAGCAAAGGTGCATTTTCCATCTGGCTGGTGCCTGGGCCTCTTGTAGCCTAGAACTGTACAGATTTAACTCTGAAAGAAGCCGTTTCTTAAGAAATTGCAAATTTATGATGTGACATCTTATTGACTCAAATTTGCATGCACCCTAGTTTATTTGGTAAATTTCTGTGGTCTCTTGTGGGGGCTTAGAAGCCCTCTGTGGTACAGTGGGTTAAATGTTGAGCTGGTAAGTGGTAATTGAAAGTTTAGAGGTTTAAACCCACTAGCTGCCTTGAGGGAGAAAAATGGCAGCTCTGAGGATTCAGAGCCTCGGAAACCGTGTGAGGCAGTGCTACGATGTCTGGCAGTGTTACTGCGAGTCGGAACCAACTTCCTAGCAGGCAGGGACGACTGCAAGAGCTTCTGCCCAAATTCTTTCTTATTAATGCTGAGCCCCAGAGGATAAGTAAATATTAATTAGCCCTTGTTGTGTGCCGTTGAGTCAGAAACGAACCATAGCTGACCCTCCAGTGGGTTTTCAGAGGGAGTAAATTGCATGGGATGAGACTGCCTGTCCTTCCACAAAGAGAAGTACTACTCTAAAGCACTGAATTGCAGCTCAACTTTCAAGGAACCCTCTGGGGCTTGTGCTCATGTATATGGTGCTCAGTGTTTCATTCATACTGATGATTTTAAAAAGAATGCACGAATGATAGAAAGAAATAAACAGTGTTTATGACTGAATTCCCTAAGGCTTCTTATATTCTTGTCGATTCCATGCTACTTAATGCTTTAACTCCAGGGGAGGACACCAGCCTTCCGAGGCCTGCAGACCTGACTGAGGCCTGGCAGGTTGCCTGAAGGACACTGGGGTTGCCTGACAAGGCTTCAAAGGCTCGCCCTCAAACACTTCCACTGACACTTACCTTCTCTAGCTTTGTTTTCAAAATCTTCAACCTTTAAAACGCCCCCCTTTTCATAGTCTGCAATTAAACAGAACAGTAATTGACATTAGAAGGCCTTAAAAGAAAGACAAGGAAGGGGGCTCTGGTGGCCTAGTGGCAAGAAGCTGCACTGCAATTCCCGAGGCACATGGTTCGAATCCACCAGATGCTTTGCCAGGGAAGAAGGGACAATTTCCTCCTGTACCAGTCAGATCCAATTTGATGGTACATACACACACAAATAGTAAAATAAAAATTTAAAAAAAAAGGAAAGAAATATAAGGAAATTCACCCTGGTGACCTTAACAATGAAACACTGGAAAGAAATACAGTTTCCAACAGTAGAGAATGAGAAGCAAAGACGATATACCCTCACACTAGAGCCTAGACCCTCACACTGGCTGTTTGCAGAAGGTGAGATCACTGGGGGGTTTATCCTTTCACTTCACTTCACATTCCAATTTTCAGGCATGAAATGTATCATCGTATTTCCAGTCTTAAAAAGCTTAAGGTGGTAGAAAGAGGTTTCAATCTATTTCTTTGCTCTAAATCACCTCAAACAAGAAAGAAATGAGAAATGGAAACACATACTCTGTCATCAAAGAAAGAGGAGGCGATGGGAAGCCTGATCTCCGCGCCTGAGGAAGGGCTACACGCTGTGAAGCCCGGGAGGAGCTGGGTGCTGTGGCTGCCCTCCAAGTGGGAGGCAGAAATCCCGGTGTCCTGGAGTCGACTCTGACTCACAGTGACGCTGTAAACACCAGACTGAAAGCCTGCCCCATTCTGTGCCATCCTCACAATCTATGCCACGCTCAAGCCTACTGCCGTGCCAATCCATACAGTGGAAGGTCTTCCTTTTTCATTGACCATCTACTTTTCCAAGCATGATGCCTTTTTCCAAGCACCAGCACCTTCTAGTAACATGGCCAAAGTACGTGAAATGAAGTCTCCTGAGATTTAGAGGCAATCAAAACTAAGAAATGGGGCGAGTGAACATCAGATGCTTGTGGGAGCGAAGCAGGACTCTGTCTACGACCTGGACTGGTAGGAAGACAGAGCGGACTGAGGAAGCAGTGGGTGGAGGAGAATGAACCAGGAGCCCCTTGCTGTCCTGATCTCTGGGGGCAGGGAAAAGACCCAGAGGCCACTCCTTTCTGGGCATTTGAATTCCCTGGAAGCTCCAAAGGAGAAAGATAGGAAGTCTCCTCCTGTGCGATTTACAGCCTCAGAAATCCAATGAAAACTCAGCTATGAGTCTGTTCTAACAGATGGAACGAGAGACAGAAACAACACACCCTCATATGCGCATGCACATCACCCCGTGTCATACCAGAGGGGTCTTGCTTGCCCACAACTGTGCCTGGACCCCAAGCCATCTGACCCTAAAAGAACCTTCATTAAATGATAAGAATGAAATGTAAGTAGGAAACACACATTCTAAAAGGAAGAGGGGAAAGGGGGGAAAAAACCCCAAGAAAAACAAGATACTAGAAAATTACTCTCAAGGAACAACAACAAAAAAATATGACCATGATAATTTCAAGATATTAAAGAGAATTGTCTCGCTAGAATTTGAATTTCACTGGAATTTGAAAGACATGAATGCTTCTGTCAAGAGGAGGGGAAAACACAGATGGAAAAATGTGACCAACTGGTAAACTCAGGGCAAAGATGTGCAGCTGTTCACTGTTCTCTTCTTGCAACCTCCTGGGAGGGTTGCTAATCTGCAAAGAAAATGTTTGGAAAGGATGTTTTCCTTGTGGTCGCTAAGTGTGCAAAGGTGGAGGCCCAGGTACCCTCAAGGTCTGGTTCCACCATGACAGAAGAAGGCACTGCTGCTTCAGGTGGAATGGGCATTAACACAGTTTTACAAGAGGTGCTGGAGGCTGCCTCACCTAGGACAGCCCAGCATGTGGAACTCACAAAGCTGCCAACGCCCGAGACAAGCACCATGCTTATTCAACTGCTTGCTTTCACCTGTGAGGAGCGCATGTACATCCAGGTAGTAGAGGCTCTTTGTGTTTGACACCAAATCAACCTGATAAAAGTGGACAAGAAACTCGGGGTAGGCCTGTGCAAAACTGGCAGAGGGAAAGCCCTGGAAAGGAGTTAGTTGCAGTGGTGTGCTAGTTTAGGTCTGTGGCAAAGAATTGCAGGACAGGGAGGTTATAGGAAAAAATGATTAAGATTCAAGAAATGAAATTTTAAAAATTGGTTCTCATTGTTTAACAAGTTAAGAAGATATATCACATATAGGTTTCAAAACCCAACCATGTACTTATAACTTGTTAGTCAAATTTGTGTCTTCTAGGTTGCAACACCCCCATGATACATCTTCAAGGATATGAACATGTACGGCCAAGCACA